GCCTTAGAGCGACTGGGTACGAGCACTATAAAGAGCCAGCGGAGCTGTCCTCCTCGATGACAGACTTCTTCGGTGTCAAAAAGTAGGGCGAGCATGAGCGGTCCTTCGTACGTAGGACGTGCAAAGGTCCATGGCTCCGCGATACCAGCAAATGACACGCTATCCGCCCAAAGATCTAAAGATAGAGGCAGAGTGCCAAAGATTTATCTGGGTTTGGCAAAAAGAGTAGCTGGATTAGGCCCCTGGAGCGTGAGCCCTCCGGTGTAAAGCATGGCCGTCACGATGGACGACGAAGGCAGGCGTATACGAGTGTCATCTGCGCCAGTGGCTGACAACAAACGGTATGTAAAAAAGCGACTTACGAGCTAATGGCGCGTTTTTAGATGCTGAAGAGCTGACCTTGCAGACCTTGTATTTAAATATGCAAAGAAAATACGCTTGTGGTAGTCCTAAATGCAATAGGCTGCATGCAGATCGGTCTCACTACAACCTGCAGATGTTGCTCCTAACCATCTGACTCGCATTGAGCCTAACTGGCCACAGCCACATTCAGGTATACATAGTATACACAGTTACAGCCTGGGCCCTTGGCACAAGTGTTCATGGAGATATACCCACAGGTGTTCATGGAGGTGTAGCCACCGGTGTTTCATGAGGTACTGAAGACGTGGATGCTCCCCATGCATGTCCAACAATACTCCAGGTGAGTGACGGACTTTTTTTATTTCCATCAATAACACACGTGTTCTGCATCGTTCCAGGATGATTTTCAATTGGATAAAAAAATGGCATTGTAGTGCTGGTTACTTGCATTATGATTATCAGGATCAATTGTAAAAGTAGATGGACCTAATGAATGAAGCAGAACAGATGAATTGACACAACATTTCACTATGCTTGGATACGTTGTTCATCCCTTAGAAATGAAGAAGCAACTAGAGTTAAAATTGAAGATAGTTGCACAAAATTATATAGTCTATTTGGCAACGTATGATGGAGACCAAAGGAAAAGAAAGCTTATTATTTCCGCCTTTTCTGGCCATGGTAAGAGAGATGAAAAGCAAAAGAATCCTTATGTCTAATGATGGTGCAATAATATCTCTACATGATGACATATGCCACATTTTGTTGGCACCAAAAATATATTCCAAATACCAAATTGTTTTTCATAAATGCGTGTCGGGGAGAGAGGAGTTAACAGTTAAACAAACGTTTGGACCCCGTACAAATCTTAACTACAAAGTTGAAAATTATCTGATTGCCTATGCAACATAATACAGACATGTTGCATATGACAAATGGTGATGAAAAACTAGCCATAAAAATTAGAAGTGATCGTTCTGCGTCCACTGCCAGTTTAGTATCTGGATGACTTGGCAAAGAGATGTGAAATAGATGTACACCAGACTATTATGTTAGTCGGCTGAGGGCAGCTTCAGGTTCTGCTGAGAATAAACATACATGCTCCAAACTCTATGACTTAGCTATAATAGAGTTATGGATTATAGGGTACTCTATATACATTATACTTATTTTGATGACTTGTAATTCACCGTAATGATATATATGCGCGAAACCTTACGCGAAATATGTGAACCTGCCCACTCGCTCACCAAAGAAGGTGTAGTAATAATCTAGAGCATGCACACGCGTGTGCCAGGCACGTTCTCACTTTTTTCTCACAAGTGTGTTTACTATGTATGCGGATCAGGAGATTTGACCTGTGCTGTGGCATCCTTACATATTTTTTTTGAGCGTCTAATTTAGACATGCTCATTATGCACTCACTATACAAGTGAGAATCATTTCTTCAAAATGAAGGGTTGATATAGGATGGCTTTGAAGCACTCAAAAGGAGAAAGTGAAAAGCACTAAGTGCGCAAACCCTCGGCGAACTGCGCAGCGCAACATGGTTACCACTAGGATTGATGGCTGGGCGGTTTTTCTTTCTCTTACTCGTTGTATCGCGCTAGTAGCTCGCGGAGAGTATGGCACGGGCTAGCTACAGTAGTAGATGCAATGCGGAGTCGATACATGCCCTTCGTTGTGACTTCTGTGCCTTCAAGATACACAGAGCGCGCGGACGCAGTCGAGGTAAGCCTGTGCTAATTACCATATGGCTTGTCACTGGTGTTTTCACGCCATAACTTTAGAACGCAGTAGTTTTACGCCTTTTTCAAAATCAACCCAGTGTAGCACTGAACCCGATCATATCGCTATTTACCTGATTTCGTGCGCGCGGTGGCAGAAAACGTGGTAACAGACAGAATGACAAGACGGACAGACTGACAGACACACTTACGGGACAACTACCGTAACCCTCGCTGCGCATGCGCGCCGAGGGTTAACAGGGGTCATTACACAGCAAAGATGCACCAAGCTACATGACACCATCCCTATATTGTCTCATAGTAAACTTACTTGTGAACTATTATACACAAGATATAGGGATGGTGTCATGTAGCTTGGTGGCAGCTTTGCTGTGTAATGACCCCTTGTTTCTTCCTTTTTTGGTGCTTCAAGCCATCCCTATACCACCCCTTCATTTTGAGAATGATTTTTCCACTTGTTTCCACTATTTTTCATGCCTCTGCATTTTCAGTCACTCTGATATTCATGGGTGTTGTAAAGATAACTGTTGAAAGCAGAAGCTAATGTAGGGTGTATGCGTAGTGTCTCCAACAACGAAGCGATTAGGTTAACGTTGTGGAACATATGGTGGGGGGTTTCGTTAGGCATGCTTCAGTAATCGACTACAACGATTAGATATAACATGGGGTACACAACAATGAAGGCGCTGGGCAAGTCCCGCGTAACACGGCGCACACTGCAAGTTGCTCCTCGTACAAAATCAACAGCAAAACGTAGCTAGCCAGTTAAAAATGTGTATACTGACTTACAAAAGCACTGGAGGATATAGAGTTCCTCTGCAGCATCCTGGCTTAGTCTCGTAGACCTGGTTCACGCACGAGACTATAGTAATACGCGCGCACCGCATTGGGGAAACGCCCTCCTCGGCGCATGCGGCTCACTGATGCTGAGTTAGCAGCAAATGGCGTTGTCCAGCTCAACGATCTACCGTAGTGACTTGCGGCAAGAAACAAGCGATCGCTTGATATGCGTGCACCCTCGGCAAATTTTGAGACGTTCTGTGAAAAAATCACGCTTCAACTGCTTCCGGTAAGGAGCTAGCGGGTCTGAAGAAGAGAAGAAGAAGAAGAAGATATGATGATGAATTGACACGAAAATCGCGAATCGCGTAAGTGCGAATTTCTCGTGGGGAACTGAGGGCACGTAGGACGTCTTGGGGCATATGTATAGCTAGGTATTGGCCTCTAGACTATTGCTAGTGATTTTGAAGCCATGGTGAGTCATTGTCGCTGAGTTTTGAGGCGTTTTGTACGTGGATCACGTGAGATTTCACTCGTGTCATCCCTATATAGCTATAGAGCAACTACCGACGCTCTGATACCTCCTTATCAAAATTTCCTCCTTTTTATAATCTGTTGACAGCATGAATGCAGAAGGAACAAAGGAGGAAATTTTGATAAGGAACTAGTGGATGGAGTCCATAAATGAGCATTAGTAGACAGGTGGACTAGCTACCGTACTAGGAATGCGCACGCGCATATTTTGCCTCGCGCCTGCTAGCCAATGCGTAAACACTCCGACTGAGGCCGCTCTTGCGCGCGCTCTACTGACTGCGCGCGAAGCCAGACTTACTACGAATCTGCGCGCACGGCAGAAGCTAGACTTCCTACGAATGACGGAAGTGACATTCCTAAGCGTGACTAATTGACATTCTTAAGCGTGACGACACGTACGTACGTACGTGCGCATATCGCGAGAATACAACCCGGAGTAGCTAACGCGCTCGGCAATAATTGGCGAGCGGGAGCTAGTGGTCCAAACGGCGCGATTTTTCTATTTATTTATCCGTCCGTACGTCGTGCTATTGCGCATGTGTCAGAATTACGCGCTCCTTTTTATCCGAAAAAAATGTTTTTTACACGCTCTTGCTGCTAGCTCGATGCCGAGCCAGGGAGAGAACTCTGGTCCATTCGGCGGCATTCGCTGCACTCTGTGGTGCCTTATCGAGGCTTGCAATCTTCGTGGTTCTAAGCTGCAAGTTGTAAGTAGCCTAGGTTGGCTTGTGTGGATATAATCATTGCGTGCTTGCTCCCGCTCGCCAAAAATGCCGTGCATTCGCCTACTAAAGTCTGTTAGCGTTCACCTTGCCGCCGGAAGTGCACTAGTCAAAACTGTTTACGCAAGGTTGCGTCATAATTGAAATATCGCGAATATTTTTGGGCGGTGGATGTATATTAAACGCTATATATTCCGCGTGTGCGTTGAATACGTTCCATGTGTTTTTCCGTGAGTTTTTCTAGTAAAGACGGTTTATTCAAACAACAAACCTCTCGTTCTTGCCTTTTCCTTGGCCTGGACTCCCGCAGTAGCGGCGAGGAGAGAGGGTTCTTGCTCGCGCTGCGCTACGCGCGCACACTCTACGCGTAAGCGCGCACATTGGGACCCGCGTGATAATTGTATTTTAATACAAATAGGATGATACATAATAAGAAAAGAAACAAAATAAACAAAATAAAAAAAACAATGGAATAAGTAGAATAGGTCTAGAATTCTCGTAGGGTCAGAGTCACTCGGTGGTTGGACATGGCCCTCAGCTGTGCGACGGTTAGTCCGGTACACGTATTGGCTGTGGCGGGAGGACCTGCTGCCTCGAACACACATAATGGCTGAGCGCAGGGTGGCAAAGGATAGTCGGCATCTCAGCCAGGCCATCACGGTTGAATCGCATTTTCGGAACGTCGCGTACTTTGCTTATGTGCTATGTACGTAAGTGGGCGTTGGACGCGCTCGCAAAGCAGATAAATAGAACCTACGGTCAACTACAACCACGTTGCGCTTTGAAATTTCGAAATCGGTCGCTGTTTAGCTACATTACGGCAGTTTTCCTACCGGCAAGGTGAACGCGAATAGATTTTAGTAATGTACTTTGTTTAAATACAGCTATACACTTGCATGGCTCTGCACTCCATCCACTATCAAAATTTCCTTCTTTCTTGTTACCACATGAATAGTTCCTGACATTATACCATACAAAATGGAGTATTGTGCAATAAAATGCTAATCAGCCTTTCTTTTGGTAGCAGTGTATCTCTCCATATACTGTAGACAGAGAATAGAGAAGACTAAAGTAAGTGAGCCTCAATCTCTCTCACCAGCTGGTAGCTACTCAGGAAGGTCCTCCAGCTCCCTGTTCTGGAAGAGGTTAGCTATATATATACCAGATGTACAGAGGAGACTGATGGCAGAGGAGGAGAGGAGGGAGGGAGGGATGCCTCCCAAGTCCCAACTGGAGTGTGTTCTTCTACTCTTAGCACCTGCATGTAGAGAGAGGGACAGAAGGAACAAGAAGACCACTGTGACAAACGTACTGTGCAGTGAGAGGAATGCCACTATAGTATAACACTGTGGGGTAGTTCAAAATGCAGACCACCTTTACCTTTAGTCTTTGACAAGCAGCAAGAGCCAGGAAGAACAGATATACGGTTATTGTTCAGGTTTAATTCAATTACTGTGAGCACCTCCACATTCTCAGCCGGGATCTCTGCAATCTGATTGGTTGATAGATCGGCAAACAGGAGGTGTGATAGCTGACAAAGATGGGGAGGGAAGGTGGACAGTTTATTGTGTGAAAGGTGGAGAGATTTCAGTGACTTCAACTGGGAGAGTGTGTCAGGGAGAGAGGAGGTGAGTTGTGATCTGCTGTCAGTGTCTCGAGTTTCTTCAACTGGCCGAGATCTGGAAGACTAGCTAGGGGAGGGGTGAAAGTTGTTGTGCGTGCATGCATGAGAAAGGGGCGGAGCAATTGATATTCATTTACTTGCCGTAAAAACATTTACTGACTGTTTGGTTACAGCAGACTGGACCACACAAGGAATAAGAGGTGGCTGTGACGACAACAGTTGAGATCATAGAGTTTTTAATGATTTTCACTGGCTCAGTCAAGGAAAAGGGGTGGTTATGGCTGCAGTTGAGATCATGAGTTTTCATTCCATTGGACATTAACCGATTTTCACTAGCTCAACTTAAGCAAGGAAAAGGGGTGGTTACAAAAGGTGCGATGCAAAGGTGACAGATGTTCATGTGTTTACCAAAATGCATCAAATTAGACTGGCCAAGCAAAGTGTTGTCACACATCACAACATCAATACCAGACCATGCAAAGAAAAAGGGACGAAATTACTGCTGAATTCTCATAAGGAATTCATGACACATCACTCGTGCAAAGAAAGAGAGGAGCGGGTTTTGTGTGTGTGTGCGTGTGTGTGTGTGCGTGCGTGCGTGCGTGCGTGTGCATGCATGTGAAAACTGCACCCTTGCACCCTTAACAGTGCCGCGCATGCGTACGGTATAGCGTGAACGTCATCCGCATCTGCTCCTTGCACGGGACAAGGCTGCGTAGAAAAGCATTGCAGGTGAGCTGCTGAGGCACAGCCTGCCTAGTAAGAAAATGTTATTATCCTGCTCCACCATTCAGACATCAGAATCTGCACAGGATCTACCATGATGTAGTAGCAGCTTACACGTACTTTAGCATGTGTAATCACGCCCACTGCGCCGAGGGTTAGCACTTCAGTGCCTTTCATTACCCTCGGCGCGCATGCGCAGCGAGGGTACTGTATTTGTGGGTGTCTGTCTGTTACTCTCACATCTCACCTCTCGAATGTCTGTTCGTCCAGAAAATATACCATATACCCAACGGCGACGAAGGTCAGAAAATAAAGGCGGTTTCTCTGAAATGCTCCGTTGCAAGCTAAGCGCGAAAAGCTAATATGCAAATACTCACGGACGGGATGGCTTAACCGCGGTCGTGCTCTGCGTACTTCGGAGGCACCAGAAAATGCAACGCAGGGCGTGTATCGCCTCTCGCATGCTATCTAGTTAGCCCGCGTCAGACTCTGCGCGAGCTGGCAAGAGACCACTAAACCCACCCCCATCACCCACCCCCAACTCCGTGATATCCCTACCACTTCAGAGGGTTTCACCCTGCTAGGGTCCCCTATCGCCCCTCTGCCTTTTGCGAGGGATCTGTCTCTAGACGAATCCATAAAGTTCAAGAGATAGTTGCTAGGCTTAACGACCTTGAGGACTCTCAATCGAGTGTACCCTCCTCAGATCCTGTCTGGCCCTACCTAAACTCGCACATGTTCTCCGCACCTGCCCTCCAAGTCTTATCCCCAAAGCCCTAGGCTCCTTCGACAATCTAATGAGAGGCGCTCTATCAGACGTCGCTGGGGGTCCAATTCCCGACTGGTCGTGGCTGAAGGCTTCCCTACCATCTTCCCGGGGAGGGCTGAACCTTCGGCTTGCCTCTCTCCACGCTCCTGCTGCCTACATTGGCTCTCTTCACCAATGCAGCATTTGGTGGCAAAATCGGAGGGAAGTTTGCCCCGCCCCTAGCCACCTTGCGACTCCCTCCAATCCCTTTCCAGAGCGGCTGGACGTCCAGATTGGGAATCCATTCAAGACATCGACGTCCCCTCCTTCAACATTCCCTCTCGCGAGCTATTGATGCAGCCTCCCTGGATGCTCTATTGGCTTCTGCCACTCATCCCCGCCGTAAAGCGCTCGCCCTTTCAACCTCAATTCGCCATGCCGGTGACTGGCTTAATGTAGTTCCATCGTCCGCTTTAGGCCTCCACCTTCAGGACCGTGAATTTCGCCTATGCCTTAAATATTGGCTGGGCTTACAGATCTTTGAGGAGGACAGGAGGTGCCCTGTCTGCCTCTTAGTCGCAGACCAGTTTGGTGATCACCACGTAGGATGTGGGGGGAAACGCCGACAGAATTTTTCGGCATAACTCCCTGCGGGATGCAGTTTTTCTCAGCGGCACAGTCAGCCGCCCTCGCGCCTCGCAAGGAAGTTCCTTCCCTCATCCCGGGCACCCAGAATCGTCCTGCGGACGTTTATCTACCATGCTGGAAAAGGGGCCGCCCTGCTGCACTCGACATCACAGTCATATCTACAATGCAACAGTCAACTATCCAGTCAGCTGCCGAGATTCAAGGCCATGCTCTGCATGTGGCGGAGGCACGGAAATTTGCCACCCATGGTGCATCATGCCAAGCAGCCGGCATTTCCTTCATCCCTCTCGCTATCGAATCCCTCGGCGGTTTAAGTGACACCACTGCTGAGACCTTGTCCAGCATAGGCCGTCTCATAGGCCAACGTTTTGGGGTCCCCCCCCTTGAATCGTCCCGTCAGCTTTTTCAAAGGTTGGCCATCTCCCTATGGAGAGGGAATGCCACCGCCTGGATCCATCGATGCCAGCCACCTGCCCCTTTCCTAGACGGTGTGGTCTGAATCCCCCCCTTCGGCCGGGGGCTTTTCGTGTGTGGTTATTATTTTTTTTTGTGTTTTTTTGTTTTTTTGGGATCCTTTTTTTTTGTTTTGTTTTTGTTTTTTTGTTGTCCTTTTTTTTGTTTTTTATTCACTATCATTGTGTAATTTACATTCCACTCTAAACCCAACTCATCAATTAGTGGTTCTGCGCATGCGTTTACTTACGCGTGCGCGTCACAGTGCGCCGAGGGTTTGCACTTCAGTGCTTTTCATTGGGTCTGTCTGTCTGTCTGTCTGTCTGTCTGTCTGTCTGTCTGTCTGTCTGTCTGTCCGTTACTCTACATCTCACTTCACGGGTGTTTGTTCGTCTCACAAAGGATATGACCTGCTTAATTAACGGGCAAAGAAGGTCAGAAAATAAAGGCGGTTTTCTCTGAAACTGCTCCGTTGCAGAGCTAGAGCGCGAAAAAGCCAATATGCAAATACACAACGGACAGGATAGCTTACCGCGATCTGACCGATCCGTGTGCTCTGCGTACCTCGGAGGCACCAGAAGATGCAACGCAGGACCTCTCGCATGCTATCTAGTAGTGTAGTTAGCCCGCGTCAGACTCTGCGCGAGCTGGCAAGAGACCACTAAAACTAAACCCAGCCCATCAAATTTATGGAGGGAGATTAGTGTCAAAATTACACCATCATACACTCCCCCATTCAGGTATGGTCCCCTCATTCATTCAGGTACGGTCCCCTCACTCATTCAGGTATGGTCCCCTCACTCATTCAGGTATGGTCCCCTCACTCATTCAGGTATGGTCCCCTCATTCAGGTATGCTATCTTCATTCAGGTATGGTCCCCTCATTCAGGTATGGTCCCCTCATTCATTCAGGTACGGTCCCCTCACTCATTCAGGTATGGTCCCCTCACTGATTCAGGTATGGTCCCCTCATTCAGGTATGCTATCTTCATTCAGGTATGGTCCCCTCATTCAGGTATGCTATCTTCATTCAGGTATGCTACCTTCATTCAGGCATGCTATTTTCATGCAGGTGTATGGTCTTGTGGATGTTAGTTTAGTTTCCACTGCCAATTATGCATTATTATGTAATCAGATTTTAACTAGTGGAAATGTTGAACATTGTTGGCGAGCGGGAGCGACCCAACTTGGGATTTCACCGCGATGTTCGGGCTGCATAACGCGCACAGCTTTCCTTTCGTGAAGCAAGACAGATCTACCTGTCGCCGTTACATGCGTACTGTATATTGTCAGAACGGTGAGCAGGTGAGCAGAACGGTACTTACCTTACGCTTTCGCTCGTCAGTCGTGGTCCACCTGGCAACTGGCATGCAGCAGTATGTGCCCTAGCGTATTATGCAAGTTGCACCTTGAGATTGGGAAGAGGTACAGCTTCGGTCAGTCACCGATGGTCGAATGGAGGAGAGTTGAAATAATTTCGGATAAAAGAAGCGCGTACAAATACGCGCATGCGCACTTACACGACGTACGAACGCATATATATACATAGAAAATTCCGCTCGAACGTATATACGACTAGGTTGGCTCGCTCCCGCTCGCCAATAAAGTCAGATTCTGGATTCTATGAAAGACAAACAATTTACAAACAATTGAACACCATAGTCTGCACAGTCCAAGAGGGGATTGATCTGGCGAGTTAGCTCATCATAAGTACTTCTGGCTGAGAGAATCAATGGAGGTGAAACTTCAACGACTGAATCCCCGGCATGGAGGAATGGTCCATCCCAATCCAGTCCATACCACGATTGATCCTATATAACACAATCACACAGATTTACATAAAAGATATTTTACTAACCTGTAGAGTTAATTCAACATCATCTGGGTGCTCTGCTGTCATCCACAGCTGGGTAGGAGACATATTACGTTCGGTCCCAAGAGGGTGATTGTTCCACATCTGTATGAATTGTTGAAGACTTTGATTAACACGGGGCAAAAATACATAATGCAGGCAAAAAAGGTGGATTTCATTGTCGACATCAAGGATGTTGTTATCTTCCAAATACGAAAAAAGCTGGTAGTAGAGCATGGTGCATCCACTGAAGACGTCACGCCATAACCGCTCTATACGTTGGTTGTGGCCACGGTAACATTTTCACCTCCACGGTCTCTGCGGACACGACTTGGGAGACCATAGGTATGAACAGCACCCTCAAAAACCCTGAGTACTGTATTGGCCAGATTATTGTTGGCACAGTGTAGGTATAAGACTAAAGGCTATAGCCATCTATGCCTCCATGGATGATCATTTTCCACCTACAATACAGAGTATAAAAACAAAACGATTATAAACAACGCAGGCCTACCTTATTAGTTTGTGGTTTCCATCTATGTGTCAGACGGTGTTGAGGCCCTGAACAGCATATCTCCGCCTATGTGTTCGGGCGTGCAAACGACGCAGTATGAGACCCTCAGGGTCACACGCGTTGTGATTCCCGCTACCCGCTGTAATGGAACCCTGATTCCCATTGAAATTAGACTGCCATACACATGACGATTCCCCCACCTAGAAATTGCACTTGGACAATTGCATCCAACTCTGTATCAGTTATTCTTGAATAAGTGCTACGAACTGACAGATTGAATTCAGTCATTCTCCTCCTTATGGTGCTCACCGAAACACCAAATACTTGAGCTATCTGAGGTACACTGAAGTGCATGGATATAAGTGTGTCCAGTTGATGGTATGATATATTGTAGTAAGGCCTTCCAACTGAACCATCAATGACATGGAGGGGTTGAACTAAAGTAGGTGGAAGCAGCTCCATGTTGTCAACAAGTTCTCTAAGACAGAAGAACGCATGAGCAATGAATGGCATGGCCCGTTGTCGGCGATCGCTACACTCGCATCATCTCTTTCGCTACTAGATCCCTGTACACGAGCTCCACCCTCCACTCCAATGCTTGTGCCCGATCAATAGATAAATTAGAATCACTCATAATAGAGTCAATATCCGATATTACACTCTGTACAGCCTGGAGTATCCACGAGCTAGCCATACTACTCTATCTAATGCACAGCAAATAAGTGCACATGCGCAACATGGGAAACATTGAACTTTAAACTTCGAACACGTGTCGGTTATTTTTTGCTCTGCAATATGTTCCTGATCGGCGGGACGGCGAGAGACCCGAGAACAGCGTATAACAGCCCTGGACTTTCTCAGCCGTTAGGAGAATCAAGGAGCTATCTAACGCAGGCCGCCTCGTTACTGTGATCTTTTGGAGGAGTTGGAAGGTATATAATTATAGCTAAGTTTCTGAAGTGTCATATTCAGCCTATATACACAGGTGGAATTGAGATGGAAGGAGAGAGAATTGTTACTCTAGGAGATTGTCTTTCATTTTTTACTGGAGCACAAAGAATCCCCCCCACTGTATTTATACAGGCGTGCACACTCAATTTTAGCGATTCCAATGTGTATCCAACAGCGTCTACATGTGCTCTAATTTTAACATTACCAACTTTATACCACAATTCATATTCATGTTTCAAAGAAAAAATGTTATTTGCTTTCTGCAATCATGGTGGTTTTGGCCTCTGTTAAAAGTTGTTGTATTGTTGCCTCTTCACAAACCATTCATCACTTATTATGTTTATATTAAATTCAAAACCACGAAGTATATACCTTCATCCACAAGACCATACATCTGCATGAAAATATAATACCTCAATGAGTGAGGGGACCATACCTGAATGAAGGTAGCATGCCTGAATGAAAATAATACCTGAATGAAGGTATATAGCATGCCTGAATGAAGATATATAGCATACCTGAATGAAGATAGCATACCTGAATGAGGGGACCATACCTGAATGAGGGAGTGTATGATGGTGTAATTTTGACACTAATCTTCCTCCATACAAATTACTGATACGGCACATTACGCGTGCGCATCACAATGAGCCGAGGGTTTGCACTTCAGTGCTCAATCAGTGGGCAAAAACGATATCTTCTTTAATCTCACCCTTAGTTCTTCGATTGCCTGGTTTATGTCAGCTACAGTGCTTTGCATAATAATAATTATAGAGACTGAATTTTGGGATATTTAACATTTTGGTCCATTACTCGGCCATACTATATGCTGTGCACATGAGAAACATATCAAAATGATCAGCAATCTTTTCTGATCAAAGTGATCAAATTAATATTAAACCATGTGATCGTCATGTGACACAATTGGCTGCCAAACAAAGGTCTTTCAGAAAATCGGTTAGGCTGATTATTTCCACAAGCCTGGGAGTTAAGACTTGAAACTTGTTATGCACAATCTTAGTCTACTGGTGCATCTTCTGGGCCAGAAACATTTCACCGCTCCAATACCGTTAGTGTGAAATCTGGCAAAACAGCCATTTTAGAGGTCCCCAGGGGTTAGGCTGATTATGCAGCCATCTTTACTAGTTAAGGTCTTGTTCGTTAACAGAATTAACCAGACAAATCACTCCACCAAGTCATTATGGATATGATGGCATGTAACTAACCATGTTTCATCTCTATGCGTGCTACCATTCACAAGAAGTTTGAGGAGTGAAGAAAGAAAAGCTATCACCAAGTACGATACTGCTAACCACATACCTCCCGTGTTTGAGGTTGCACTACCTTACCGCCTGAGCTAGTCACTCCACGCTCCTGAAGTGCTAAAACATTACCTATAATTATTCGGGATTACGTAGTCAATTGCGCCCGTAATGTGGACCCCAAGAGTTACAGAAGTTGAGGAGCGAAGAAAGAATAGCTATCTCCAAGTACGGTAGTACTTAGATGACACAGGTTGTCCTGAGTTGTAACATCTGAAAGCAGCCACTTGGGGAGGTATTGTTCCCAGTCATTGTGACGTTTTGCTATTACTGCGCGCGCGTTTCCCTGGCGGCGCGCGCTCTTCAGCATAATTATATTCTGATCTGCTACAGCAGACACCGCGATAGCTAAACTAGGCTAGAATCTTCCCCTGCAATGGCACTAGTTAAAAGAAAGATCCATCGGCTTTTACTAATGGCATCGTTACTTCTCGCAGCGATCTGCTACTCATTGACATACCTCAATCAGCGCAGGCAGACAAGTGAGCTAGCAACTGGAAGGCAAACAACACATGAGGACCCTACTGCTGCTACCTCGACTGCTACTATCCCCACCAAACTAAAAATTTCTACTCGCAGGCAGACAAGTGAGCTAGCAACTGGAAGGCAAACAGCACACGAGGACCCTACTGCTGCTACCTCGACTGCTACTATCCCCACCAAACTAAAAAGTTTCTACTCGCAGGCAGACAAGTGAGCTAGCAACTGGAAGGCAAACATCACACGAGGACCCTACTGCTGCTACCCTCGACTGCTACTATCCCCACCAAACTAAATGTTTCTACTCGCAGGCAGACAAGTGAGCTAGCAACTGGAAGGCAAACATCACACGAGGACCCTACTGCTGCTACCTCGACTGCTACTATCCCCACCAAACTAAATGTTTCTACTCGCAGGCAGACAAGTGAGCTAGCAACTGGAAGGCAAACATCACACGAGGACCCTACTGCTGCTACCTCGACTGCTACTATCCCCAGCAAACTAAATATTTATACTCAGACCCGAAGCAGTATTTCCACCGCTCGGATCTCCCGCAACTTTTCTAGGACCAGCATTTCTGCTCGAGTCCCCAGCACTACCCCGCCATCGACCTTGCTAGCACAACTATGGAGCAAATGGTCCAGCGAGTCCGCTCTACCTAAATTTCCGGAGGCACAGTTGCAGTGTTCTGACGCCATCTGTTCCAATCTCTCTCCTCCGAACTTGAAATGCATGAATAGAATTGCAGACATTGTCAAAAGAATGGCGGCTCCGACCTGCCGATTTCAAAAAGGGGAGTCAAAACCCAAATACTTACTGAGAAGCTTTCCTGGCAGCGGAAACACTTGGGTTCGACAAGTGCTGGAGAAAGCTACAGGAATATGCACAGGTGATGCTGAATTACACGAATCTCATCCCAGTATATTATAGTCTGGCATGAGTGGGTAGTCTGGCGTAGCCTGGCCCCATTCTCAATTGGGAAAGGGCTAGGGCATCCCGCCAAGGGCAGGGGCAGCTCTTTGTCCTAGTTTACACACATACACATGTTCATGACCCTAGTGCTGCCTTATACAGGTTCCATCTACTGTGATCCTGACATAATGTTATCGGGGATGATTGGAGAAGGCGTGGACTCTAGTTCAGTTTTGGTCGTCAAGACCCATAACCCTAAGGTGCAGGAGTGTATGCATCACATACACTTAGCCTAAAACTGATTCTGGCAGATGATCTGGGCTGACAGTCTAGATGCCACATCACGTAATCTGCAAACAAAAAGCCTCCAAACTAAAACAGTGTTTTAAACACTGCACCAATCACTTGTGTATTAGTTGTCCATTATTACCAAGTGCAGCCATTATTATATAGCCAGGGTTTCATCTAGAGTTTGGAATTGGGGGGGGGTACCACTCACTCATCAGTGCTGCAAGCACAGGAGGTAATTAATAGTAGGCATCAGTTTTTTATTGTCAATGTACGTTCCAAAATCTTTATGGCGGGAAGTGGTGAAGTTTGGGGGGAAGCTCCCCCCCTGTAGATGAAACCCTGATAGCACTTTAGCCAAATAATGCCTATGTATGTAAACTGAGTGAGAATCGGCTCGTGTGCAAATTTCATAGCATGGAACAAGTAGCTGGTTACTATTAATTGCGGTTACTAATTTTAGCATTTTTGCACAGATAATTTTTGGCATATACTAATTTTAGCGATTTTTGTCCCCACATCATTTGTGTATGAATGTGTGATGATGACAACCAATCAAATATTTTATCTGTATCCAATTTCATCCTTCTTCTCTTGTGCTCCAGCTGACCCAAAGTAGAACCACAAAGCTTTGCAATTTGTTTCCAGACTCCAGAGTAAAGCTCCAGTAGAGTAAACACGTGAAACTACACGTAGCTTGCGCAACTAACTGTGCGGAAATTAGCGGAATGTGCGCGCTATTGGCACACACAGATATTATAGCCGCAATTAATAGTAATTTACAGCTACTGATGAGTGCATACTAAGCTCTTTTGGTGTGGTCCAACTGTTTGTATGAAGGTATATGTAATAGGCAGTGTTAGCATAGGCCCATAGTCACCTAATGCATTTTGGTGAGTGGGAGTGAGCCAACTTTTGAATTGGCAATGTGTTGAGCACACAGGCACATGACGGTTGATTCTTCCATTTAAGACAAAATTTTCAGTCGCGAAATCTGCTGGTCAGCATTTTGTATTGCTCGCGTAGCCCTATATAGCCCTAGCCCTGTAACCCATGTTCATAATAGATTGGGTATAATATTCCGTGACTCAAAACTTAGTCTTGAAGTAGCAAATGTTTTCATGCATGCCTTAAGCTGTCTGATGGAATGTGGTTTCTCTTCCATATTATGTATAATATAGACACCTGGTAATGCTACAATATTCATCGTTCGTAATCCCATCAATGCAATCGTGTCATTCTGGAAGTGGCAGCTCATCTATACAAGGATGTACAAAACGGAAGAAAAAATACACGTCGCCAATCCACCAGTCAGATACTTCCGTCAGTTATAATAATTATAGTTTGCTTATCAAGTGCATTCATATATACCCTAATTCAGGTAACAATCCTAGATGGAACAATTCGATTAGAGGAGAGGTTAATTATTGGACAAACCTCATTAAGGGCACGCTCTCTAAAACCAACAAACCACTTCTGATTGTGACCTACGAAGACATTAAGAGCAACACAACCAGAGAGGTGACCAACAAGTTGTTTGTGTTGGTGTTTTTTTAAATGGGCAGTTTTTTTGCAGGTGTTTCGAATGCTAGATTTTCTAAATGTGGAGTACTCTGCGGAGGAAATTATCGAAAAATTCAAAGATGACCAACTAACAATGTTTAAGAGACCGAAAGCAAGGGATTTTGATCCCTACACACCTCCACAGAGGGACAGAGTGAGAACCCGTCTCAAACAGCTCTCGACATCACTTCACCACAAGACAATGGTCGAGATAATCAAACGCTATTTATTAGAACTTTGATAGACTCTGTTATGACTTTCATAGTCACGTAACAGCATTGTCCTGTTTTGTGTGTCTGCCCGCGGTAGCTCAAACGTCTCTACTAGCAACGTTGTACTTGCACACCTATTTCCTGGGTTTCAAGAGGTTTGGCACTCAGTTTAAAGGGAATTTGGCCTAAATTTAGAAAACGTGACTATAAACTGCATTCTCTCACCGGGCCTTATTGCTAAATTTTCATAATGCCGCCACATTCGCTTCAAGAGATCCATGTACAGGTTGAAAAGTTTCAAGAAAACATTATAATATTATAGCAATAATACATCGGTTGAAAATCAAAACAAGAGGGTGTTCATATATAGAATGTGTCGGGTCTTGCACTCAGTTGTGGGCTGGAGGTGGAATTACTGCATGGTGAATGGAGGGAGGGAAAGGAAAATAATGCCATAAGTCCATAAAGTCGTATTATACAGGAAGATCTTTTGGAAAGATAATGCACTGTCTGTCCTACATAGTACACGTCAGTAAATCTAGAGTGCACCCGTTTACAGCGAGATTGTACATGTCTGTAGCGTACAACTGACACTGCGCATACCGTAATGTTCTACGATGATTCTATATAAATCTGTGAAAGACACGCGAAGTATGTGGAACTGCTTGCTTTTCTCGCGAGGCATTCGTTTTAGTACCCACTGCAGAGAGCTCCATAACAGTCAGTAGTACTCAGAGTAACATGATTGCACGGTGCATTGATGCTTTCCCATAAAAAAAAGAACAAAAATATCAGCAAAGATAGCACTATCAAAATGTACCAAAACGACTTTTCCAGTTTTCCCCCGGTTGTCCCATTATCTCATAGCAGTCATATTGTACACTAGAGAACCTACCATTGTGATTGTGAGCGATGGTGTGGGCGAGGGCAGGGTTGTTTCCCCCGGCAGGGTGGGCCACTGCAGCCACAAGCAGCTGCCATGACGGAGCTCCGAACCTCCGACTGTCGTAAGCCTTCTTCAGCCAATGGGTCAGGTCCTCCCTGAGACTCAGCTCTGAACATCGCGACAGTCTGCCTCGATGGTGTCAAGGGTACCAGGATGGAGTCTCAGGGCCAGACCCAGACCTTTCCACTCCGCAGCAACTTTGCAGAGCTCAGAGTGTACTTCAAACAAGTGTTTGATGTCTGGAGGGCAAGATGAGAAGTGAGAAGGTAGGAGGTACAGAGCTTCAGGCGTATATAATGGCACCGTTGAGCGGCCATGGTTTGAGGGGTCAGCGCTCGAGGATATTTCTTGTCGTTTCTGGTGCAAATACTTATTTGAGCTGGCAATCAGCACTCGTCTACATTCCGAGCATTGCAGGCAGAGGGGGCTGACAGATGGAGAGCGTGATAGACGCCTGAATATGTCCACAGTGTGACACAACAGTACTCGGCGGCGTGGAACGACGCATGTGACACATAGCCCAAACCACATACGTGGTTCCACGCCGCTGAGGGTTTTGCACTTTAGTGCTTTTCATTTAGACACTAAATTATAGCTGGAATTCCTTTGATCTTACTCTCAGTCATCATACAAAGTATTATAGCTACTACCATTAGCATACCTCAAGGCCAATGGAACTTGGGCAAATCTGGTTCAATGTTACATCAAAGTAAGTGTCATAGATGATCCCAGGGATAACTACTTCATCAGAGCTGTTGAATGACTGATTGACACTATCTCCATAGACGACTCCGACTGCAGGAGGCTGGGAGCAGGGGAGAAGGCTTAAGGTGAGGTTCATATCTTCACAGGTGAGGGTCCAGCAGTCTTCCTGGGGGAAATAGCACCTGACCAAGTAGTTCTGAGCTACTTCTGTCCTGATGGACTCCATGGCCTCACAGGTAGTGGCTGGGGCTGTAAGATGAGGACAGGGAAAGGTTAAGTTTTGCTGGCCCTATTCTTGCTTTAGGCATAATTATACATAACTCAATGATTCACACTGCACGGTTTTAGCACGTCACATTAATAACATGTGGATAATTGTCGTGTGTGTACACTTATTTTCTCTGTGCATAACAAACATTCAGGAGTATGGTTTTTGATCCTCACTTTGCAACACTTTATGTTTGTGCCATTAGATTTATGTGTTGTGCAATGGGGACACCCCTGGCCTACATAATATACTCACGAGGTGAAAGAGTGACAGTGGTGGTTGGAGCAGATGAGGGTTCACAGGAGGGTAGGTCCAGTATGATCTCCCGGTTGATACTGTCACTTGTGAAATCCACCTGTAGAGGGAGGAGGGAACGAAAGGAAAGGACAACAGGGAAATGAACGAGTAGAGATGTAATGCACACACCAATATACTTGTAATCCTGTAGAGTAGAACCAAAGGCTATAATATAAAGGCTCTCCCAGTCCCTCCCTCCATACCCTCTCTTATCTCACATTCATAGCAGCTACCTGCAGGTTCATGGAGTAGTCATAGTACCAGACAGTTGCAGTCAGTGTGGCGGAGCCCAACAGCTCTGTTGTTGTGTTTCCCCTCAGAACCACAGTGAAAGGTGTCCCCTTCAACACTATCTGTAAGGTGACGGATGGAGGACTGTCACATGGCATGCATGGGTCCAAATCCAGTCCATCCACTTTAAAGCCGTCAATTGTGTCACCTTCACACCGTACTCCATAGCTCTTGCAATTGATATCGTAGGAATCACAGTAGCCGTCTTCGAAAAATGGTGGAAATGTGTCACACGCGCACTGTGCAGGAATCAGAGGGAAGGACACAGGAATAGTACTGATTCCTATGCTATGATGATGTGAAAGATTCACTGGGGTTTTCATCTGGCCGTTGCTGTTGCTCTTGACGACGCCGTCTCTGGATGCATCTCACGTGAGGGGGCAGGTCACGTTGTAGGGGTGATTCTTGGCTTGCCTTCATGTCTACCCCGACCTTCTGACCCTAGTTTCTTGTCAGAGGTGTGATAATAATGTAGCTATCAAACCCTCCAGCTTTGTCGATCCATCTCATTGCAGCTGTTGTCATGCGGAGTTTGTTTCAGATGTATAATAGTAATACTCCAAGAATGTCACTGAAGTATATACGTCTTTTTATGAACGTTCGGGTGTCACATGCGCTTAGTCCTGTAATTTACAAGGGAAGCAAAAAAAATTTGACGATAGACGTGTAAAAAATGAAGAGAGACAGGAACATTTTGTAGGATCCGCTTACTTTTTGTTGGAGAAGGTGTCACTGATTGTGTGGCCGTGCATTATGGTCTTGCCGGCGTAGAGTCCCTGACTCGCCCCGCGAGGAATCCTCTGCAGCAACCAGCCTAGCAACACCATCACCGTTAGTCGTCAGGGCACAAATCCAGAAAAAGCGCAGTCGGTTGCGAGTAAGACGGTTAAAGGTCGCACGTGGGTGGTTCACCGGCGGCGCGCGCAAAGTGTGGGAGGATCTACAATCTCACGCCTTTCCCTCTCTCTCCTCTCATCGGATAGCGTATCTTGCAGCTATAGCGGCAGGATCTCGCGTCCCTCTATTCACCCGTACAAAAGGCGACCTTCCACCGTAAGCAAAACTAAAAACTAAAAGCTATCGCCCCTCTGGGATTTGAATGATAATTGGAATAATAAAACGTTTTCACTCACTCTGGTACAAATAAAAATTAATTAGTCACGTAAGTTATGTCCAGAGAACAAAGAAGTCTTCGACAGTACTTCAACATGTACAAATCAGTGCAAGGCTAGTGTTGAACCACACACCGACCGTCTTTGCAAATGTTCCTAGATGGACTGCATGATAATACAAAGGTTCGATCTTTGCCCACAACACACCACGGCAAACTCATGCTCCTGTATGGAAAACAGAGAACGGTGTTCGCATTCGCCTACAGGGAGACTGTTCATCAGATTGCTTGTGTGTGACAATGTGTCAGTTGAGGGATTAACAGAATCGGGAACTTTCAAGTCCATGAGACAAAGACATAGCTAATAAAAGAAGTAAATAAGTGAAATGAATAATCTGGACAGTATATACAGTGGTCAATGTTGTTTGGGAAACACTTGGTGACCGGTATACCACACCTATTTGAATAGGCTAATTAGTACCAACGTACTGCAACCACTCCTTGACATGTCATGTGATTCATCTCATGTTACCATAGCACTGTTGAATGTGAGATCCATACTTGCAAAATTGGAAGACATTAGAGCTGACACAACCTTAGATGTGCTAACATACTGTGCTTTTGTGAGACTTGGTTGAATGCATCTCAGCCTTCCCCTGCGTTACTAGATGACCAGGTGGATATCAGAGTTACGTGTGAGAACAAAGGTGGAGTTCTGATGTATGTCCCTAGCTGAATGAATCCCCCCAATATACACGGTATTTATGCAGTGAGCACATGCAATACTTGTGCCAAGATCCAAATTAGCCTTGAGAACTGTGCGGGTAATTTGAATAGTGAGACAGTCACCTCAACCTATCAACAAAACAGAGGTTTACAGCAAATTCCATTGAAGCAGTCTCGGCTACCATTCATGTTCCAAATGTAGGCAGTAACCATCGTTTTCCACATCAATGCATGCTTTTTTTAAATTGCTTTTCCAAGTATATGCAATCCATCCAGTATTTTGACACGACTAGCTAAATGCCTGTTCAAGACCGAATCTGCCACCTTTCATATCCTCAACTATTTCATCAAGTGTCAGACCTTGTACCTTGTGTATGGTGGTAGCCCATGCTAATGTCAGTGGGAACTGCAAACGCTTGATTTCAGATCCTCGTTTTCCTTTGGCACTAAAGTGCAAACCCTCGGCGCACTACGCATGCGCGGTATCGCTAATTGATGGGCTGGGGCTCGCGGTCTCGTGGAGAGTCTGACACGGGCTAGCTACACTACAGCGGTTTGCGCGAAACTTGCAAATATAAGATTTGCGCATGCGCACAATTTATTTGCAGAGCCATGGCTTCATACGAGAGCAAGCGTACGTCCGCTTACAGTGACGATATGCGGTGGAGAATGGTCTGGCAGAGTCAAGCGTTGGGTCTAAAATTCTCAGAAATAGCTCCTAACCTTGGTGTAGATGCCGTGACAGTCTGTAGAGTTGTCAAGCTTTTTAGACTGATATTATGAAGAAAGCATATCCCTGCAGACCCTCTTACAAAATCACCCCTGCTGTGCAATTTTCAGTTCCTTAGAGAGCACCAACAAGAAACACACAGTCTTGAGGAGGCCAGGAGTCTACCTTAGAGAGCACCAACAAGAAATGCCCCTGATATCGTACCTGGACTGCAGGCGTAGTGCCTGTTAAATAGGTATTAGGCTTTGGTAAGACCTGTACACCAACTCTTGTTCCACCGACGTTGAAAATGTTCGTCATCTCCAAGATGATCTTCAGATATCACCAAAATCATGCACAGATCCATGCGCATGCGCAATGTTGGCGTACGACGCAATCTTGCAAGTTTCGCGCAAACCGCTGTAGTAGATCGCATGCGGGAGTCGACAAACGCCCTTTGTTGTAACTTCTTGTGCCTCCAAGGTACGCGGAGTAGGCAGATCAGTTCGAGGTAAGCCAGTGCGATTATGTATATTGACGTTTTCACTACTTCATGCTTAGTCAAAGACACAGCGTGAGGAAATCGAGCACGATATGGGCTGGTTTGAACTGATTTAAGACCAATTCTGTTATCACAAGGACACTAGTGACCTCGCTGTTATTATTGGTAGCAACATGGACTATTTCACCTCTAGCACCATTCACAACACCATCTGATACATCAACATTAGCTGTTAGCATGACACAAGCACCAATCTAGTTTCAGTGTACTGTGAGGACCACCTGTTTCAGATCTTTTGTCGGACAGATAGGATATGACTGGTCTGACCAGCTACAGAATCAATGGCTTTTATCGCAAACTGTGCACTCTGTGGAGCCAGGTTAGGGTGTTGCGTGTGTCAACATCGGCATTCAATCTGTACACATGTAAAGCCTGGGTGTGATAATTTGCTGCATCTGCTGCTATTTCACGAGATTTTAGAGTTCTAATATTGTCAGATGTGCAACTGTTGGTTCTAACTCTGCTCTGAGAACACACGGTCACCTCTTTGCCTCATTACCTCAGTCAGTTCAAGCATTAGGAAATGATCAACCCACAATGAGCCTGAACCATACAGTTGGACATAGCAGTCACTCACAGTGCTAAACAGTGGAGCTTGGCCAACTGGTGGTAACTGATACAGATCTCCCATAGCTAATATACTCACACCACCAAACACCTTATCATCTAACACACCATTTATCTGCTGCAGTCTTTTGTGGATTTCTAGCAACATATTGGAACCAACCATGCTTACTTCGTCTCTGATCACAAACATCAAACGTGACAGTTTTGTTCGTAGAGTGTTTAGTCTGTCATGGCTAAGAGGCTGAAAACCACTGTATTTGCTACATCCAAGTATAGAAATGCTGAATGCCAATGTCATGCCATTGATATTGAATGCAGCGACACCAGTTAGTAACGCAATCACATCATCTGGTTCAAAGGCACGTGACAGTTTTAGCAATTTCAGTGTATCAGAATGAACTAACTTTATCACATGTGACTTGCCAATACCACCTGGGCCACTTAGGAACACATGATAAGGCTCAACTGGCTTGCCCTCTTTCAGTGCAGGTACATCTTTCTTACACCAGTCACGATGGCAATGGATCTCTGCTGCTCATTTAGCCCATTAACAACCATCGCAGTACGAGGATAAAAACATTCGAACATGGTGAGTGTACCAACAGAAATGATCTTGAGTGTATTATCTGTGTCTGATCAAGTTTGGGTCCTTAATACTCTTTCATAATAATATAACGATTTGAAATTTTAGTCCTTAGCTAATACTCTCCATTCAACGATATTCCAACCTACTTTAACGTGATGATATCTGGACAAAACTCAGAAAAAATATTGTAAACTTATAGGTAGGGTTAGAGAGAGAGTTTGGAACATTAAAGTTGAATGATTAATGGAATGTGGCTGTGGGTCCTTAAACTATTGACAACCTTCGTAGTACGAGGATGAAATAACAGCCCTCGTTATGTCTAGATTGTTAGTCAGAATGTGGCCCAAATGTACAACGTATATATCATTAGAATAAGATAACAACGATGATCGTGAATCTCACCCTAGGTCTACGCTTAGGTTTATGTAGCCTGAGCGAACTGCGCATTTTTAGGCTGCTGCGCGAGGCCGAGAGGAGTGCCGTGATTCATAGTTACGCGCAGGACGCTCGCATAATGATAATTATAATGAAAAGCACTAAGTGCAAACCCTCGGCGAACTGCGCATACGCGATACTGCTCACGTCGCGAGTCTGACACGGGCTAGCTACAGTAGTAGATAGCATGCGGGAGTCGATACACGCCCTTCGTTGTGACTTTCCCAAAGGTACGCAGAGCGAGCGGATCAGGTCGCGGTAAGCCCAGTACGATTATGAGCATTGCAGACATACCTTGCTCAATTTGTTGTCCATCGAGAACAGAGATAAAAAATGACTGAGGAGAGGAACTCTTGCTCGTCCAAGGTCAACTAAAATAACCACGCGGAATCTAGCAGATGCGGAAAACGACATACGCTCATGCGCGATGGCGCTCGCGTCTGATGCTCAGGCAAAACGATACACCCACATACGCGCGTGCGCGATGAATCGCTCGCGTAAGCTTTTTCGCTTGTTTTCACACCATATCTCTGGAACGCAGTCTTTGGATCGCCACATTAATTGGCGAGCGGGAGCGAGCCAACCTAGTCGTTCGTTCGGGCGGAATTTTCGATTTATCGCCTTTCGTACGTCGTATAAGTGCGCATGCGCGGTTTTGTACGCGCTTCTTAACTATTTCTAAATTTTTACTAGCCAGCTAGAGAACTCTCCTCCATTCCACCGCATGCGCTGCAACCTTCGGTGACTGACCAAGGCTGTACCTCTTCCCAATCTTCATGGTTCCAAGGTGCAACTTGCAAATACGCCTAGGATTGCTCGTGCACGTACTGCTGCATGCCAGCTCGGGTGGACCACGACTGACGACTTGAAAGCATAAGGTAAGTATATACCGCCTGCTCACCTGCTCACCGTTCTGCCAATGTACAATACGCATATAACGGCGACAGGTAGATCTGTCTTGCTTCACGAAAGGAAAGCTGTGCGCTGACGGGCACGTTATATATACAGCCCGGGCAAATCCCAAGTTGGGTCGCTCCCGCTCGCCAAGAATGTTCAACATTTCCACTAGTATCAATCTTATCGTCGTTCACAACCCGTTGGTGCCACTCATTAGTAATAATAATAATC